TCCTTGCCTTGTTCTTTTTCACTTTTTTATTTAATTGGCACTTAATACCCGTCGCGTTTAAATATATATTTTTTCTTTTTATTATATTCACGCACTTTATGCTGATGTTTATGGCCTCAAGCACGCCTTACGAATTTTTCGATTTAAAAAAAAAATTTTTAAGCTAAGTTTTTTCTAACTACAAGGTGCTTTTTTATTAAAACACAAAAGATTCTTTTGTATCTTTTTGTTTATATATTTATTTTCTGTTCCTTACCACGGGTGGGGGGACACAAGAGATATTTATTTTTAGCAGCCTTAATATATTTTTTAAGGCGCTGGCTTAAAAAACTCTGAACCTCTTACCACAGGGGGGAAAGTTGCAGAGCGGTCGAAGGACCAAAATGTCGAGAGAGGCTGTAAATAAAACGAGCGTCTGACGTTGTTGAGTTGATATTTCAAACTAAATTTTATTCGTTCAAATCCTATCTTAAATAGCTAACATGAGAATGTACATTATTGATCTTAGTTCTAGACCCACGCATCGGACAGTTCGCAATCGTGGGTAATACTCTAAGTGCGATAAGGGAGCACACATTTACTCCGATAGCACATATGGTATCTTAAACAAACCCAGACCGCTCGCAGGAGGTCATATTTCGGGTTGCTTGTATTTAGGTAGGCCCAAGTGGCGGATGTACTTATAGATAGACAAATGCAGTACATAGCTGCAAAGATTTAGTACCTAACATATGCATCTTATCTATGTATATACTTTTTCGTGTGTTCTTTCTGAACATCAGTTTTACATTTAGCTGACTTGATTTAAAAATGTTAAATACTTGTATGCACGGATACAATCCGAATTCAATCGTTGTTCTCCGACGATCGTAAATAGGGAGAATAACTATGATAATCTTTCTTTATTATTGAATTATCGATAGTAGGTTTCTCGAGCGCATTAATTATATGTGTCATTTTTGTTTTTTTAATTTGAAACCTAAACTCAATTAAAAATTTTTATTGCAATCTGTTAATGAGATTTGTTGTCGTTGCCGTAGTTGTTGTTATTGTTGGCGAGTGACCGATCTCTAACGTTGGTAATACGAGTGAGGAGCTGCTATTGTTGTTGTTGTTACGTTATATTGCATTGCACGCAAATCCTATTGATTTTTGTTATATCAATTGCCTTATCAGAAGTATGTTTTATATAAGGTTCTAATATCTTCGAAGTGAATCCCAATAATGATCCGATTGATTTATTCTTATTGAAATATATTGGATCAGGTGAAGTGAAAATTTCCGATTGCAAAGTATTACAGTTTGGACTTAGTTCACTAATATCACTGATTTCATATGAACCCACAGGGATTTCTATGTTTCCAACAAGAATATCCATGTTTTCCAATATGAAATAAATAATTTTATCAATCAACATTTGTAGTTTAACAGTATGTGACTAGACTTATCAATCCACACTGATAATTCTGATTAAGCAGTAGGCAGTTTTAACAGTTTACTGTTAAAATACAAGCTGTTAAAGTCAGCTGTTCCAATCGAACACCACGCGCTGTTAAAAATGTTTATTTTGTGGTGCAACTTCAAATTGGTAATCTCTTAGAAAAAATCATTAAATAATCTAATTCAAATTGAATATTGATTCTTCAAGTTAATACTATTTTCTTATACTAATACGTTGTGTGTTTCGTTCGTATTTGTTTAGCAAGCGGTGTCCCCTTGTCACTTTTGGAAAGAAATTTGATCTTTGCAAAGGGTTTTAAAACAAGTTTCAAGGAGTACCAGTGAGTGTCCATAACCATGTTGTAGATTTGTCAATTCTGAATTCAGAATATATAAGCTTATTTGCGTTTTTTTGCGAATATTTGCGTAATTTAAATTTTTAGGAAGCAACCTCTTGTTCAGCAATGCTGAAGTTTGGCGTAAGCCAGGGAGTAGAAGTAGAAGTCATGCAGCTGTTGGCTTGTGAAATTTAGTCTGCAAATGGTATCGACGCATTTGAAATAATTCATCCTGTGTTCCAAAATTGGGGCCTCTAACTTGAAAATTGCGCTAAATATTAAATTTTTGTGGACAGAGGGAGGTCGTTGCCACGCCCACTTTTCAAAAATAGTAAAAAATCTTGTTAGTTTTAAAAATATTAATATTGGCCACAAAAACTGGTAAAATTCCACATAGTGCAGTGGCTACAGTTTTCTTGTCAACTTTTTATGCATTTGCTTTTCAGCTGATTGTGGGCTTATTTTCTTTTTATTTGCACGTACCGAACGTACCTGTTTGTATTAGTGGTTCATAGTCAGTAAGAGCTGACGAAACAGAAACTGCAGTTGATGTGGTTGTTGTCGTCGTTTGTGTCGAAGTCGCCGTTTTAAACGAAGGCATTGTGCTGGTCGTTGTTGTAATAAGCAGATCATTGGTTATGTTGGATGGGTCGAGGTACGGACATTGGGCACTCCTCGGCTGTCTTTGTGATGTACCGCTTGCACATAATAAGCCGGGAGAGAGCGAGCGTGCTCTCTCCGTATTCGCTTGCAGTGTTGCAGCTGTTGTTGGTTCTGTTAATTCTTTCGCTCTTATGGAGAAGTAAGCGGTATTTCTGATTGACGAGAGCCGACGTTCGTCTTGTTGTTGCTGCCGAGACTTGCTCATTATGGTTTTTCGAGAGAGAGATTTGTAACAAATTTTATTATCACTTATATATGTATTTAGAACACTTTATATTGGACATTACCAATGCACATAAGCACAAGTACACATGCGTACACTCTGAGCGTCTTTTCTCGAAATAGAAGTCGGCTTTTACGGTGTGTCTTAATTACACGACGGCGGGATATAAAAACACGTTTGTTGTCATTCACTTTCACTGCGTTTTTAAACTATAAACTATAAATATTTAAGTACATATATATTTCGTTTTTGATAGACTTGAGAACGAAAACATACATACATATGCAATAATTGGTGGTGGTAATAAACAATGTGGACGGCAATAATGAACAAAAAAAAAAAATTATTCGCAAGCATTGTGAGTCAAACGAGACGAATTTTAAAACAAAGCAACCACAGAGTATCGATGAAGCTATTAAGATATCACAACAATCAATTTCACCAAATTTTCATCGAAATCAAGAACGACGACTACGACGATGAGGACTAGCGAGCAATACCTTCTGTTCGTTCAGGGATAGGTTTCGGCCAGTGTAGAGAGGAGAGCGGGACACAATAAGGCTTTTCGCTTAGGCGAATTCGGCCGCAACTCTCCCTCTCTCGACATTGTCTTTATCTCTGTCCAATTTTATTTGAATAAATCAGTTGAAATCAGAACTCCCTTTCGTTCGCACGTACTGCGTACGTTTCGTCGAGTTGAAATCAGAACTCCCTTTCGTTCGCAAACACTGTGCCCTTTCGCTAAGTCATAGAATTACCAAACCCTGCATTTCACAAGTTTCGAATTAAATACGAAATCTTATTTAAATTATTCACCGTCAATATTCCATGGGTGATACCATTACAAAAAATTGGTGGGTTCTTACCGTTGCTAAAGCCATAAAATAAAAATGGTTAAGAGCAATTAGCTGAAGCGACACGACATAATCGATATATGGAATCAATTGCAATGGGAAAGGGTCTTTTGCTAAAGCCCTATGGACTAGTTTATAAACCATATTCAGCATCATCAACAAACTAATATATATGTAATATATATATATATATTGATTTAATTGATTTTGTTAAACAGCATTTTAGACACTTTCGTGGTGTTTTTATGCGTGATCGTCTTCCCAAAGAGCCATGGATCAATTAATGTGGGATAATAAATTTAGACAACGATTGCGGTAGTGGTACGCATTGGGAATACTATGATACTATGATCGTTTTCATGATTTGCAGCCACCGATTGAAATTGTTAATTATTTAAAACCACCCATTGATCAAAAATTCAATACATACAACTGTGGACATTTATGTTTAAAATGTTTATTTCGGAAAAATAATAAAATATAATATACAATTTTTTTGGTTTTTATTTTAGTTTATGTCCTTTTGACCCCATGCAAGAGCGTCTATATTATTCTCATTTACATAGCGATTATCATCTAAAAAGCTTAGGGTGAGATTTGTATATTCTTGCGTATAAATTTGATGTAAGTTTGATTGTTCCAACTTGTTTAATTTTTTTATTTTCGTTTTCGTTGTTTCAGAATTATTTGTATTAGGAATTTTTACCGAATAGATTGCACTGAGTCCAATAAATTCTTTTATTATATTTCCCTGGCATTCATCTTTCATCATACCTATTTTTTTTTTGTTTATCAATGGTAAATTAAAAACATTATCTTCAACATATTCTGATGTATCGAAATGTTGATCAATTTCAAAATGAATGTCATCATAAAAAGATATAGTCTTAATATCATAGATATAAGAATCTGTATCCATATACATTAATTTAATATTTTCTTGTTATTTAGGTTTTATATAGTCACTGTGAACATTATACATTTTATATCAGCCAATCAGATTGATTAAATTGTAATATTCGATGAATTTTCCTTAAAATCATACCATTTGTAAACGGCTCCCCCCACGAGTAGGTCCAAAGAAAGGTGAACTTCAAATTCCTATGGCTATGGCGTACGGAACGTTTTATTCTGTAAATTCATTAAATTAGTTTACAATTCAAATATAGCTCTTCTTCTTCCCGCAGTGTGCCCTCCTACTATTCACAAGACAGTGAAACGGCACTTTTCGGCGGCATTCACATAACCGCGATTAATAAGCCCGTACTTCAATGGGCCAAAAATCGGATAACTTAAAAAACACTTCATTTCCTATTAATACTGACTTGACTATCGATAACAATGTTTTGACCGTCGACATCCCCGACCCCGTGAAGACCCGCTTCACTCAAATCTAAAACTGCAAGTTTAGAGGCGGGCCGCAACATTGTCCAAGATAGTCCATTATCATTTACGCGCATAGTGGCGCGTCTGACGACTCCATCAGCTCTGTATACCTCCTCCACGATGCCCTTGCGCCACTCTCGTTTGGGCAAGGCAGGATCGCAGACGAAGACCATATCGCCCTGGCGGATGGGCTCCGTTCTCCGGCACCACTTCTCGCGGCGCACAAGCGTAGGCAGGTACTCCATGACCCACCTCCTCCAGAAGCGGTCCCGCAGCAAGCGGGCAACCCTCCACTGCGGCAAGTGGGTGAGCGGACGCGACTATGTTTTCCGCCTCTATTAGGAGACTCTCCAAAACATGGTCCCTCGGCGCGACTTCCTTCAGGGTATGGCGCAGCACTCGCTTGAAGCACTGCACCATCCGCTCCCATACTCCGCCCTCAGACGGGTTGGATGGGCAATTAAAGACCCATTCAATGCTCCTGCTGGATAACTCACTCTGTATCCTTTCCGTCTCGAACACGTCTCCAAATCGCCTGGCCTCCCTGTCAGCTCCCACGAAGTTCTTGCCGTTTTCACTCCGCAGTTTACGTACTGGTCCTCTACGGCAGACGAAGTTCCTGATCGCTATTGTACAGGAATCCGTTGACAGGTCATGCGCCAGCTCCAGATGAATCGCCCTTGACGTCAAGCATGTGAACAAGGCGAACCAACGCTTCTCTCTATGACGAGCAACAGTCACCAGCAGTGGCCCAAAGTAGTCTAGTCCTGTGTACTTGAATGGCCATCCTCCAGCTTCCAAGCGATCCTCTGGAAGGGGTGCCATTATCGGCGACATCGGCCGCGTCCGTTGTAGCTTGCATTCGTTGCACGACGAGATTACCTCCTTCAGCTCTCGTCTTATCTTCGTGACTTCGTAGACCTCGTAGTTAATTTCTTCCGATTTCTCTTTAAGTACCGTCATAATTTCTATGCCAGGTATTAACATTAATAATTGAGCCTTTTCTTTATTAGATAGGCCAATAAAAGGGGAGAAATCTAGATCATATGTCCTCATATATATACTTTCGAAATTACATATATACGTGGGACTATATGATACCATGAAATTAACTCTTTCTGCTAGGTCTGGTTCTTTTACCAAGACTTTTTTTTTAATTCCTCTTTGTTATTTTACTCATAATATCTTGTCAATGTATATTATTATGTGATATTATTTTTTTTTTTATTCTGATCTTATATCTTTTTTTTATTCTGATCTTACATCTTATATATATATGTATAATTTCTTTTTTTATTTACGATTTTCTTTATATCTTTTTTTATTCTTAATTACATTTTATTGTATTTAGCTTTATTTACAGCTATTGTTTGTGCCTTGCTTTTTTTTTAAATTCTGTCCAAGTCGTTTGCTTGGCTCGCATATCTTTTCCTTAAACATTTATTATGCAGCTTATACAATTTATAAAAGCAATTGGCACACATTATTATGACAATTATTAATAACATGATATTGACGAATTCCAAAGCGATATTATTTGGTTCGACTTTATTTATTACGTTAGCAGTGGAATCCACTGTCTTAACGTCTACTAACCCCATATTAGTTGGATTATTAATTTCTTTTAATTCAACTATGTTTTTATATGGGTATTCTTCTGGGTATTTGCTTATTTTATTTGTCTCTATAGACATTAATTTTTCTTAAGAATTTTTGTCTTTAATAAAAATTCTGTTTCTGCATGTTATATCGGTTTACAAATTTGAGAGTTGATTCTCTCTTTTCCTACCTAGTGTTTCCGAATGGCTTTGCAGGCCAAACGTCTTGCTGGTCGACTTAATTGTCGTCAGGCATTACAAATATATATATATATAATAATTTTAAAATTAATGTTGCGCACTCTTTAGTGCTGTCGGTCAGTTCACCCTTGATGTTTCCAATCGTTGGTACAAGGGGCGGCCTGCCTCTCGGACTTCTTCTTGATCCCTTTCGTTGGTACAAGGGGCGGTCTGCCTCTCGTACTTTCTTCTTGTTCCAATCGTTGGTACAAGGGGCGGTCTGCCTCTCGTACTTTCTTCTTGTTCCAGTCGTTGTCACAAGGGGCGGTCTGCCTCTCGTGATTGATTGATTATTGTTGATTTCTTTTGCGACATCTATTCCTTTGCCTGGCATGTGCCCAAGCAATGCGGGCTGTAGAGCGGTCCTTCGCAGTCCGGTGGATATTCGGGTTTCCTTTTTGGTATCTCTTTTGGCTGTGGCCGATGTGTATTCTTGTTAATTTGGATGTTTGTATTTACTGAGGGACATGGGTTGCTCTTCACCTTTAACAGTGACTCTAAATGTTCGAGTTCACTTGTTAGTTTCACTGCAGTGTCCCAGGGTGGTGGGACTTCGGACTACCATGGTTGCCTGATGCCGCGCTAGTTGTTATATCAGGTCACAGATATCCAATCGTTGTATCTTGTAGTTGGTGTATTTCACTTGTTATTAAAAACGCATGCACGTCAGTGCAGTCTTAGTTCAGTTTTGATGCTTCATTTGGGCGCGGTAGTGTCTTACTACCATCTCCGTAAGACTGTGCCTGTGTCACTGTATCACAGGCCTCCTCGCACTGTACGGCATGGACAGCGCGGCATCGACTCAGCCATAAACTCGCAGAACTCCATATTTGTCCACGTAAGGCGCCAGACTTCGAATCTTCGATGACAAATTCATTTGATGCTACCAATGCGAACTCACCGGGCATCTCCTCTTCATCAGGTGCATCTGGAACATGCTCGGTTCCCTCCTCAGGCGTTGGCCAGCCGCTTGCTGGGATTTCGGGCTAAGGTCCGCCTTGCTCTGCGACCGCGTCGCATCATCCGCTGCGTTGTCAGCTGTAGGTACCCATCTCCACTGGGAAACCTTCGACGACTCCAAAATCTCCGCCACTCGGTTGCTAACAAACTGCTTATCCATTTCAGCACCGTTTTTGAATCCGTCCATAAAACCGTCTCGCTGATGTCCACACTGTGTTCTTCCTCATCACTCTGGTTCCAAGGACCGCTGCCTGCAGCTCCAGCCGTGGGATGGACATCGTTCTCATCGGCGCACACTTCGTCTTTGCGCACACGAAGCTAGTCAGCACGTTGCCATTCTTATACGTGACCCTCCAATAGGCCACCGCCACGAATGCAGATTGACTTGCGTCCACGAAAACGTGTAGCTCGATGATCCAAACTGCTCCACGCCCAAAATAGTGGCGAGGACATCGGAACTGTCCCACGGCGTCCATCTCTCTGCGCTAGGCAGCAAAGGCTCTGCCTATCTCCTCCGGCATCGGTTCGTCTGCCTCCAGATCTCCCGCAGCAACAACTTCGCTGTAATCATCAGGCAGCACAGGAACCCCAATGGGTCGAACATTGACATCAGCAGGCTCAAAAACTCCCTCTTTGTTGGGACTCGCTCTCCACTTAGGACGCTTTTTGGCACTCGATGATACTCCACGTTGAATCTGATGTCATCCGTTGCTACCTGCCAACGCATTCCAAGGATTTTCTGCTCAGACTCACCCCATCAGACGCTCTTGACTTGTCCAGGTGGTCCCAACGCCGCTTCCACGATGGGTGAGCTGGATGAGAACTGGCATAGCTCGAATCCAGCCTCCGCGTGTATCTCCTTCACTCGGGTAGATACCTCAATAGCTTCGCTCTCCGTATCGAAACTATCCACGTAGTCATCGACGTAATGGTGGTCGATGATGGCCTTGACTGCCCTCGGATCTAAATCCCGAAACTTCATGGCATTCACCGTCTTGACGTCATTACGTTCATTTCGTATATATCCGGCTCTCGATCGTCGTTGCCATCTCTCCAAAGGAACCGTTGGGAACATCGATCCTCGGGTCGGATCAGCACTTGGTGGAACATCTCCTTGATGTCCCCGCAGACTCCGACTGCTCCTTCTCTGAAGTGGAAGAGCACAGCTGGCAAGGGCTTGTAGTGCTGTGGCCCCTTGTTCAGCGCCGAATTGAGTGAGGTTCCTCCAACCTTGGCTGCAGCATCGAACACAAGCCGGACCTTACCGGGCTTGTTTGGGTTTTTCACACCAAAATGTGGCAAATACCACAGCTTGTCGTTCTTCACCGCGACCTCATCTGGCTGCTGCTTCCTTGCATATCCTTTGGAAACCTTGATGACCGTCGTATTCCAGAGCCAACTGCCCGTTGCGCTTCAACTTCTTCTCGACGTTGATCAGCCGTCAGTGCGCCATCTCGTAGCTCCGTGGCAGCACAGCGTTGTCGTCCTTCCAGAGCAATCCCGTCTGGTAGCGACGCCCCACTTTCACCGTGGTGTCCTCGAAGATCCTTTGGGCCCGCGCGTCGTCGCTGGCTGCGACCGGTGGCGCGAGCTTTACACCAAAGCTTTCCATGTCGATGTAGTCCTCCACCATCTTTTCCATCGTGTCGTCCATTGACACGGCTAGAAGGCAGGACCTATCCGGAACAAAAGTCGGCATCCTTCGACGTCAATACTTAAATTCGTCTGCACGGGCGCCTCCGCTGGCCCTTCTCCCCAGGTTGTCTCTGAGAACAGCCGGCTCCTGGCTCCTCTCGTGGTCCCTGTAACCACCTCGTGGCGAAGACCTCCTTTCCGGGCTGACATCTGGTTTCCTCCGTTGTGGCGCCTGAAGCCACCTCGCTGTTCCGGCCTTCTTCGCCCTTCGTCCTCTGCATGTAGCAGACGGTGATGCAATCTGCGGCATCCGTTAATCTCGCATGATCTGGTCGTATGCCCACTCCGTAAGCATGTGAAGCAGAGCCGATGCCTCTTCACCATGCTCCACCTGCCCGGTGGCGAAGCTCCGATGAACTCCCTGCAGTTCGTCGTAGCATGTTGCCCTCCACAAATTGGACAACCTCTATGCCGGTCATCCCGCTGCTCGTATCCGTCCTGGTCGACGCTCGCGTGTAGAACTCGACGCCTCGGCTCCTTTTCCTCGACGTCCAAAATCGTACACATGATGTTTGCGTACTCCTGTAGCCACACGCTGAAGTGCGCTACAGTGGGAAAGGGCTCGATCGATGCAGCGTGCCTGGCCCAATCCATTCGTTTGCTGGTGGGAAGCTTTGCCACAAGCTCCTTCATGAGGGTGGGGTTTTCCAGATGTTGCTTCGCCTTCGCCGACTGCAAGAAGGCCGTGAGGTTACTCACTCTAGTTGCGAAGGGAACGATCCTCCGTTCTCCTCCGTAATCGGCGGCACCTCTCGCACGCTATTCAGCTGGCTTCGTATAAGCTGCTCCGGTCGGCCAAACCTAAAGCGCAACTGCTTCATCACGGCTCTGACGTTCGCAGGGTGAATCAGCAGCGACTTCACTGTCTCGCGTGCTTCATCTTTTAGCGCCTCCAACAGCCTCTGGTTGTTCTCCAGGTCCGTGCAGTTGTACGCTTGGGTCGTCTCCACAAATGCACAATTAAAGATGGGCCAATCCTCGGGCTGCCCTCCAAATATAGGCAAGTCCGGGAGCCTCCTTGGCCCAATCGCTCCTTGGGTTCCAATCGGTGTCATCGAGGCGTAGGATCCCACGAATGGCGATGCAGTTGCCACGTTGTGGATGCTCCCGCCCGGTAGCTCGAATCCATGCGCTGTCTGCTCAGCACTTGTAGCACACAGTGGGTTGCTAGTCGTTAGTAACGGTGGTCCATTCCAAGATCGCGGCAGCGTGTAGGTCCCACTGGTCGCACCGAAACTGCTATTTGGGACCGGCCCGACCCCGTTAGTTTGGGCCTCACCGTTAGATGTGGCGGTTAATGTGGTGGCCAATGGCGTTCCGCTCCACGATGGCGGCCGGTCCGACGCTCCACTGTTGGCGCCATTTGCGCTTGGGCCAACTGCGATTGGCGCGCAATTGGCGGTGCTCGTTGTGTTCATGGCTCTAACCTGCTTCAGCTCATTCTCCAAGGCCGTGACCCTATCCAAAAGG